TAAAAATAGGAAAATAAGGGATTGAAACTATTTACGAAAAAAATGTTTTAACACGTACTGTAATGCGGCCCCTACAAAAATATTTAGGGGGATAGTTTTCCCCCCTGCGGACGCCTATGAATATTAATATATTTTGAAGCAACAACTCTCCATCTCATAGAAAATACCCATTAGCACATCATCTGAAGGTTACTTCTCTTTGAACATTGATCTCCAGGGGTGATCGTTGTGTGGAGTGCGTGGTGTTCATAGTGGTGATGAGTGCTATTCTCGCATTCCAAGCGCAGGTGTGCAAGGAGACTCATGCCTTCTTTTCTGAACAGACCCCAACGGCGGCTTGCTATTATCTTTTTGGATGGATAATGGTGGGGTAATTTTGGGTATGAATGATTATGGTGACATAAGGTTCAGAGGTGATTCGTGGTGGTATGGAGGTGGTGGTGAGAAGTCGATCACGCCGTGATCACAAGATGAAAACATCTACTTCTTACCCCGATCTCGACCGCAAGGGCGGACTTCCTCCCAAGCAGATGCCTAGGGGCCCCACCTCAAAGGGGGCCGTAGGTGGTAGTAATAAAATCTAATGGGACCTCAATAAATTTTCAAATGAATTGTTAGTTCATATAAAAATAATTTTTAATATATTTTACTAGTACACTTTATTAAATAAATTAATTTAATTCAGACTTTACATTACTTGAATGACTGGAATATTAATTAAAAGTGAAAAATATTAAACAGAATTATATATCAAGTAATAACATTGCTAGCGCCAAACGTTTAGAGACCTGGCAGAGAGGATTGCGGAGGAAATCGTCTCCTGCCCCCAACGCATCCGCGTATCAACGGAAAACAAATTCGATGTGGGGTTCTGCGTGTATCCCAGAACGCGCGAACGCCTTTCTCCATGTGTTTTTTTCGTTGTTCAATCAATAAAGAGGAGGGATGTTTTGATTCCCTAGAGGCTCTAGTAGGTATAGAAGTCCGGCCTTGCAAACCCGCAGTCTCCGATTGCATGTACTTGGCAGTTGCCTCTGCGCCATGCCGGCAGACCTTAATCAAACACAGAAACGGAACGCCGCCGTATGTCTCTCATTTCCCACGCAATACGCACAGGCGCCCGTCACGCCACGAAAGACCTCTCCAGCCCCAACCCTGGCGTTTCCCTGTTAATGTGAGGTTTGTTTTCTCGTGGCTTCTGTGCGTCAGGTTTTCCTACGCGGTGTCAAACTCCCCAGCTTCTCTTCCGCTTTATTTAACGCTTGCTTTCCGTTTGCACAGGAGCAACCTTATCTATAGGGGCTAGTACAGTTGGTTAGTTTCTTTTTGGCATATCATTAGTTGTATAAATTGTGTGTAGATTCATTTCATTATCTTCGATTAACTATATTCTGTGGGGGTAGAAATGCGGAAAAAGTCAATAATTATATTCATTATATTAAACTAATATGTACGAAATAAAGTAAAACAAAAAATTATGTCAAAGTAGCTTTCTTGGTTAACATGTTAACATGCACGTTCTCTCAAACCGGAGCATATTTAGATATTTTGATGAAATATTGAAATGAAGTCGTGCCTGAAGTCGACAACGCTGTCCGACGTCGGCTATCGCAAACAAAATTCGGTTGACAAGGATGACTATCTTTCTTTGATATGTAGCTACTAGAAACTCCAAGAGAGGACAATTGATTAGATTTTTGCCATTTTGTTTCGCTAGATCATGAAACCGAAGTACTGGTATTGCTATTGAAATTTAACATCGTCAGTGAAACACATTCGAGAGTGAGGTAGGGAAGTTGATCGGTCGAGTTGCATTCAGCTCTGCGTGTCCTAGACTGGGAGCACGGTTCGCGGTAGTTTGCGTGCGTCGGACGTGCCGAGAAAAGTTCAACAAGCTTTCACTCTGCAAGTGATTTTGCATGTGCGGGGGATAAGTCATGGAAATAATAAAAGAATTGTCAGCGAGGCGCAATATACACAGAAAGAAGTGTGTGTGACCTTCTGTGTTCGCAAGAACGTGCTCTCAAGTGAGGACAGTTTTTACTTTCACCCATACTACATATGTAGCATATATGAAGTTATATAATGCAGAAACAAAAAGAGGCGATTTTTCGTCAGAAAAATTCCTATTGTAGGTCCCTGATGCCGAAAAAGTGAATAATTCTTGTTCCTGTATTTTTTTTGAAATGGTTCTTTTGTCAGAAATTATGGACGTTTTTATAATTATTACATTTGTGATCAGAAGTGCTTCAAATAATTTCTGCTTTAGGTTCTCGGAAACTCAAAAGTTTTCTGTGAAAATGGCTAAATATAGGGCCTTTGCAGAAACTATCATCGACATTTTCTTTTCTTTTTTAAAAGCTCCATTTTTTTCATTGAAAATGTGTATATATGAACAGGTATACTCTTCTATAATATCCTTATAAAGTCAAATATCAATTTTACTATTAGGGGAGAGAAAAATTGAGAAAATATAAAAAAAATGTTTTAGGCGCCGAGATGGAGCTGAGAAAAAAATACCGAGAAGCTAATATAGACTAAAGAGTGTGAAGAAGTCTGCGCCATTCTGTAGCACTACTAGTTTATAATCTTTTTTGTATTTTTATTTATCAACATTAAATGTTCTTGTTCATGCCCGAAATATTTTGAATGCGTAATCGACTAAAGTAATTCGTTGCTATGAGAATTATTGGTATAAAAAAGGATAAAAGTTGTGAAAATACAATATGTGTCAGTGTATATAAAATAAACCGGAACTTATCCAAGTATTCTTCTTCTTTTTAAGAGACCCATTAGTGAAATCCGAAGCATAATCCACAATGTATCCTCTGCGAGATGCTTGAAAAAGAAAGGCACCTTCTCAACCACACTTTGAAATATAATTGAGAACTCCCATTTTTTCTGCTAAACTCAGTATTTTTGTACTATAATAACAAACATCACGTTATATTGCCTATGTCTGTCAAAATGTGTGAGAATCATTGTGAATTAATTCTAGAAACTGATGAATTAAGCAAAAAAGAATTATAATTCGAAATCATTTACGAGAAATTTATTTTTAATTGAGTTACGTTCTTTGTCACTTCCAAAGGGCAAGGAAACTTTAAAACGCATTATTTGCTATAAAATTCATATGTAAGTTTCACTTTGAAAGTAAACCAATTGCCCCTGTAAATTCTAACAGAACACATATCGACATTGCAGACGACATACCTTGTAAATTGTTATGAACTATTCTACCTTGAGTGAAACCCTTTAGTATTCCTCGGTCAAAGATAAAATGTGATTACAAGTGTCTATAAGCCAGTTTTCTTGTGTTTTATGGTTATCTTGATTAACTTATTTTTGAGAATATATCGTCTAAATATATTTGTTGATTTTACTAAACAATTAATTTTTATATGTGTGACTTTCCGTGGGCACTGACTATGCTATTAGCGTATTTGTTGTAGAAATAGTATATCACTGTATTTCATGCCTCTGGACTAGAAATAAATTATTTCTAAAGGAATCGTTATGACTATCTCTGAAACTAAATTGAGGATTTAGATACTACGAATTCAAGATATACATTCAAGATAAGTTCACCAATCACTCTTAGGAATGAAATATCAGTCATGAGTTAATATTCGAGAAGTAGGACACGTTTCTCAATGGTTTAGATAAATGAAGGGAATCTTTATCACAACCTACAAAATTTTCGCTATGAAATCCGCGTTCTTTTTTATGCCCGACCTTTCATACTAATCAATATAAATTGTCTTATTATATATGACGTATATTGTAATTTCACGAATGACTATTTTAACGTCAGAGAATTCGTTATAAAGGATAAAAAATTCACAAAATATAAAATAATAAAATTTTCATTTCAGTTTTATATAATTAGTCGAAATATGTTATAAACCTACCCCATAATCTTCATAATAACTATATGATGAGATTCTTTAGTACAATTTTTAAAACTTATACTATAATCTTATTATTTAACATCAGCGATGAAATAAACAAAATTTTAAAACTGTTCTGTCTCTGATTTAAATATTAAATCTTTAATAAACTAATATAATTTCAGAGGTGCATTCCTGGTTTAAAATACATATCGTTTGAAATGTGTTTTAATTAGAAAATGTATGTAAGAACTTGGCCATACTCGCACTTCGTTCAAACATACCAAATTTTTCGCGAGTATTGTAGGCACACTTACTGTCACTAAAAACTACTTCTTAGAAAGCTTATTGGTTTAACTGTCACCTAACCTATAGAGGGAAATCGGGAATCAATAATAATAATAATAATAATAATAATAATAATAATAATAATA